TATATATTAGTAAAATGTTATTATTATTTTATTTATATTTTATTATTTTATTTATTTATTTTTAAACATTCTTTACACTGTTTCTTTAAACGTTTCCACCTCTAGCACTCTTGCGACCCCAGTTTGAAAACCCTTGCTTTAGTTCAAACCAGTAAGTTTTGTGGCATGAAAATGCACACTAGTATCCACTTGGAATTGACACCAAGTGACCATCCATGCCAGGCCGATATATGGGTTCATCACTAGTCATGGTTAGGCCTGTTGTGTTGTGGGATGTGTGTGTTTTTGCTCCGATCACAGATCGTCACTGGTGTCTTGACAGTCTGTCAGTCAGAGAAAGAGAAAGACCGAAACGTCTGTCTGCTGGTTTTTCCATAAGGCCATTACAGATCTACAGCTAATGAGTGTAAAGCCCACTTCTGGTTGATTATCCATCTATTTTCCTCACTGCTTATTCTCTGTAGGGTTGCAGGAGTTTATAATATATAAGTTAATAGCTATTGATAATGATTAAGTCTTCTTTTCATCTCTTTTCCCCTCTTCCTCTCTCCTCCTTTTCAGTTGCTCAGATTTTCATGCGTGCAGTGCCGTGTTGCTTTAAAAGGGAAATATTTTGTCGCATGAGCAGCTGTTTGCTACACAGTCTTGCGTGTGTTCTTGTTTGATTTGCACAGTGTAAATCATCTGAAAACGTCTACAGTAAAGCACGATTTTGTTCCAAAGGTTGAGCTTCCATAGGCAGCATTCTGAAGCATGATCCATACACAAAAGCTATTAGAAATGTAAATGTGCTGCTGTAAGATGCCTTCGTTTGGACAAATTCTAAGGCAGAATTGCGTGTGCATTTAAAAAAATACACTTTGAAATAATTGTTTAACTTAAATGAATGAAAGACAGAAATAACATTAGTAGTCTTTGTTTTATTCCAACTTCAAAAATTCATAAAAAAAGTAAAAAAAAAATACAGAGAAAGAAATGTTAAACATACTAAAATATCATGCATATTTTAATTTATATTAGTGTTCTGAGAAATGTGCTGTAAAATAAAATTATATCATATTTATATTATATATTATGAAAAATAAAATGTTTTTAATATAATATTATTTTATTTCATTTTTTTTTACAGAGAAAGAAATAAAGTATAATCCATCCATGGTGGATGAAACAAGAGAATTGCTGGTAATAAATATGCTTAAAATTCATTCAATACCAAAAAAAGAATATCACATATTATGGTAAAAATAAAAGTATAATTTATTACATTGTTGACGGCAATATGTTGAGCGTTTCAAATGGGTTATTTTTTATTTTGAAGGGTGTTGCCTGTGAAGTCAGCAAGGCTGGGTGCTGGAACAGAGCCCATGTGTTTATAATTGATAATTCAGTAGTATATGGGGGAAAATGAAATAGAACGAATGATATTTTTTCTAAACTGATTTGGGATCTGTAGAATATGTTATCAGACCAGGAGCTGTAATTTTAGCAGGCCAGGGGTGATATTTTAAATGTTTGCCCAGCATAAGGAGGGTTAATCTCTCAGTGTTTGGTGAATGTGAGTTATGAATTTATGTGCAGTATTCAGATTTACTGGCCCACGGCCACATTTAGATCCGCTGTGTGCCAGGAATAATGCAGGCGGACAGTGACATGACATTCCTCAGATACACACACACCACGTGATTGAAGATGTTAAACAGCTGCTGTGTTGGTGTGCTCACAGGTTTCATATATGACTTTATTAATGCACAGGGCAAGTTTGAGTAATTCACAGCTCTTTGAATTGTGTGATTTTGATTTGTCAGTCAATGCATTCTGCAGTCATACTGCAATATTCTTTTGTAATGACATATATGAATATATTAATATTTATATATTTTGTGAAAAATGTAATTACATTTTTTATTATAGTTTTATATAATAACTAAAACTGAAATAAAAATTAATAAACTATATTTAAAAAAATATTTGAATAACTTCAGAATAATTTCAGTTTTAGTTATTTTAAGTTAAACTAAATAAAATTGAGAAACGCTGCATTGGCTGAAATAAAATAAGTTTGTCTTTTTTGTGAATTATTTTCACACACACACACACCCACACACCCACATAAACACACACACACACTCACACTGACACACACACACACAACCACAC